GCCTCACCACCCTCAATGTAAAAGATTTCTTGTCCTGAAGACCTCAACCAATGCTGAAGTCATTCCGACGGGATCACAAGCAATATGACACATCAAAACCTAGTGGCTGCATAGGTGTTTTTTGAACAAGAAAGTGATTTGGTGCTGATGACAGGGTACGAGATGCCACTTAAGAAGTCCTTGTGTAGCAAAGCAAACTGTAAGGGATTTCTGGAAGTGAAGTGAACTTGAGAAGGGGTAAGGGGAGCTAGGCATAGTAGGAAGGAAGTGACTTTAACCCTCTTGCACCTTGGCTAAAGAACGTTCAGGGCAAATGTGCACTGAATTAATGCTGCTTGTTACAGCCAACAGGACTGAGATAGAAGCCTTACAGTGCACACAGCACAGTAGCATAAGATTACAGGAAGCTGCACATTGGCCATACTGAATGTGGGTCTAGCAGCCTGGGAGCTGAGCAAGACCAGGTCTCTAAAAAGTGTGAATATTTCATCCCCTTGTAGGTCGAAAAGGTTTCCCTAATACATTGTAAATGACTGATTTTTAGCAACCAGTTTTCTCAGATGATTACAGCAAGTTAGGCATGGCAAGATTAGCCTTGAGTTAGCTGAGATGCTGATTGTTTTCCACTGGATACCCACTGAAGAAAGACTTGCACTCCTGAGTTGTAGAAACATTACCAAGGCAAAAAACTCACAAATCTGTCTTGGAAGTGTTCAGCAACAACTGCAGCTGCTGCGGTATGTGACTCTCCCAAAACCTCTCCAGTGCAGGATATATTAGTGCTTCCACTGAGCAAGCCTGTGTTATCTGGGGTGTGGTGGTCATTCATCCTCACTCACACTGGGCTAAAATTTGACCGGCTGTTTCAGCCCTGGGAAAAGATCTGATAAACTTGAAATCAGCCTCTCTGGCTGTTTTGAAGAGACACATGTACGTTGTTTAAACTATATTCTCTTGACAGTAGCGTATCAGAAGTTTTTCCGGGGAAAAAGTCTTCAGAGAGGCCACAGGTCTGCACATATTACTATGATGAATTCTGGATTTGTTCCTCCTATAAATAGGAGGGCTTTTAAAAACATATAAACTGCTTATAACAATTAAAAAATGAGTACTTGAATCCAGGTGCCCTTTTCTAAAGGATCTTCAACAAAAGCTTTGTAATGAGGAGAAAAATAAATGGAATATTTATCAGAAGATCACAGCACGTGAAAGACTCATTAATATTAGCATGAGATGGACTCTTTTAGGATCAAGCTAGTAGAAGTGATAGACCAACGTCATTGTGAATTAACTGCAAAACAAGGAACAGGAAACTCAGAAGCCTGGGGTAGGAATGCCAGAGTAGCTATGCAAAACCCAAAGGATTGGCACTTTTTGCTTATGACAATGAAATCCAGCATTTGATTAAAACACAGATGCAATATGGCTTTCTTGTTCCTAAATAAAAAACAAACAAACAAAACGAAACAAAAACCTTAAATAAAACCCAAATCAAAACCACCACACCTCAAAGGCCAGACTGGAATAACAGAAGCTGACACTGTACAGGTGTGAATGTGTGATTTTTTTTTTTTTCTTTGGCCAACTGGCATGGTCCTCTTACAAGATAGATATCTCTGCTGGATCCTAACTGCCCTTCTTAAAACTACATTGCCTTAGTTGAGCATCAGGGTGCTTGGTAGGGAATTGTTTCTTTGTGAAATCTGCTTCATTTGATAATACTTATGTACTAATGTTTCAGTCTTTTGAGTCTGTCAGTTTGGTAAGCATCTCCAGAACACAATCCCACCTCAGATGGGGTATCTCAGAGGTTAATTAATAACAATATAACAGGTACTCTTTCCAGTTCAGACTGTGTAGCTACTTAGCTACCCTACTGAATACATTTTGAGAAACTACGGTTTTTATTTCAGAAATATTTATGTGCCTACTCAAAATTCAAGCTCTGTTAAGCAGCGGAACAGTTATGCTGCATAGATATTCTTTGGTTGGATGAGACAGGCAGGGCCCAGAAAAGGTTCCTGTTTTATTATTTCAAATCTATTTTTCAATTCTTGTCTTCCTATTTGGAGAAGATTCTTTCCGGCAGTGATTCAGTCTTCTCAGGAATTTTTTATATCTCATTAACTGGGAGCGGTTCCCAGGACATCAGTTTTGCCATCATCTTTAAATCAAATACGTCTGAAATCACTTGTGACAAGTACCTCTGTGGGCCCCACTCTGCTGAAGAACTTTAGGAACGCTCAAAAGTTGGAATTTGTTTTTAACAGAACACAGAAAATATTGTTGTTCCTCTGTATGTACAATATTGTTTGTGTGAGGCAGAAAGTGCAGAACAGAACATGTTCAATAGTCACAGCCCTAAGCTGCATATACATATATGTATAAAATATATATATATATATGTAAAAGTGGCTGGTCTTTTCCCTTTTGTTCAGGATCAGAATAGCTGTGGTTGGATGCCAGCATTACAATTCAAATACATTCAGAGTTTCTTCATTTTCTTAAGTTTCAGTCTTGAATGGAACTGATGGGACACCTCAGAGGTTAAATAATTGCTAGAGAGAGTCAAAGACAGAGGACAGCGAATAATGAAAAATATAGAAAGAGGATGAGCATTAACTGTGTTTTTCCTTCTCAGTTCAATATTGGTTTTGTTGCTGCAAGTCAAGCATCAGTTCTGTGTTTCCTCCTTCATTAGCTTTTCTTCCTCGAATAGCCGTATCTTGTAGTGCTCTTTCATTCTCCCTTTTATCAGAGCCCCTTTTTTGCCTGATAGATCTAAATCTGCTGTGCAAAAAGTACTAAATGACATTAGTCTTCCTGTTTGGTGGATGCTGCCCTCTTAGAAGAAGGAATCAGCAGCAAAGACTTAAGAGAAGCGCAGGTTTTTTTTGCAACTGGGAAGTGAGCATATGGCTAAACTAACAGTGCACCGAGTCCTCTTCTCTAGCCTTATATTGCTGAAATTCCTGAACGGGAATTGTTCCTAGGGATAATGAAAGATAAATAGTCATGTCCACAAACACCACTGTCTCTATGAATAGCTACCTTTCCCACCCGTCCCTGAAATCAAACCCAGGTACTACACTACTAAGGCAAGAATAAAGGAGAAGATTCAGGTTAAATAGTGCAACTTTACTTGTAGAAGGGCTGTGTGGTAGAGCTGGTTGTCTGGTAGCTGTCAGATACTTTAATCCATATACTTCATCATCTCATATAAATACTTTTAAATACTAAGCCTGTATAATCAATGTCAAATGTGAACCAAAAATATGTTGTTATTCATCTCAATAGACATAAGGAAAGGTTGAATTTAGTAATGTTATGTCTTAAGTATAATGAGGTAGGAAATGCACTTGATGACATTTTACAAGTCAGCTACAGAGTAAACAGATATTTTGTGTGTATAACATCTTAGTGGATAGGGAATATTTTGTGAAAAAAAGATACGAGGTTAATTTGTTTGGAAAGCCAGGTACAATTTTAAACATTTTAGAATTCATTACTTGTCACTCTAGGATTAATTGTTTTATGATTAAAAAAGCCTGATGTGGAAATTGCATGCTTATTTCTGATGCAAGGAAGTTAAATTTTCTGATTAAAAAAGCCTGATGTGGAAGTTGCATGCTTATTTCTGATGCAAGGAAGTTAATACATTGTTCTCTTTGGTCTCTTAAGGAGAAGAAATCACATTAATATCTGTGCCTTGATTTTTCTTGTCCTTATACGCCTGAAATCTGATCAACTTTGTTTATTATGGATATCAATGTGTTTAAGAGAACATCACTGGATTTGGGTAACAGGATGTAGAGTATTTAGCATCTTTCCATCAGTAGTTCAAATTCAGCTCAAGCTGTCTGTGCTAGTGAAGCTTCTAAAGTCAGGCATCTGAATTAAGTTAATGGTCCTAGAAGCGGCTCTGGAAAACTCTCTTTATTAATGCCCATATCAGCAGTGTCAGGAAGAAAGCCAAGGAATGAAATGGCAGGTTGAAAACTGTCATTTGTTGTCTAAATTCATCCATAACAGTGGAGCAATTGAGAAAATACATGTTGTTTGACAAAACGAGGAGGCAGCAGGTTTACGCAAATACGTAACTGCAGTGCAACATTCATTGCCTTGGACTGTTAGATGGAGATTTAAAAAGGTGTTAGGCAAATCATGGAGAATAGATAGACTGTGGCATAGCCTCTAGCTGGGAAGTCTTTAAACCACTGATTACTTGAATGGGAAGATGTGAAGGCTGTCTGTATTGTCTTGTTTCTTACAGCCTTTTACCCCAAGTAGTGGCTGCTGACCCTGTTGAGGACAGGACACTGTACTAGCTAGACCTCTGACTGAAGCAATATGGTGTATCTTACATTCTTATTGCTGTTTCACATCATGAAGGCAATGTTGTATCGTAACAGGTGAACTAGAAAAAAAAATGGCAGTGGTCTGTCAGCAGATAATGAGTGCTTACAAAGCAATGCAATGCCTTAGTCCCTCATTTCCCTTTTTTATTTTTGTTTAGGCAGGTGACAAGCATTATCATCCAAGCTGTGCACGATGCAGCAGGTGCAACCAAATGTTCACGGAAGGAGAAGAAATGTATCTGCAAGGTAAGGATGTCTCCATTCCGAAAAAAAAAGAAAAACAGACTTTGTAATTTTTCTGTCACAGACCTCAGGAGTTTATAAACCATCCCTACGTAATATGGGCAAGGAGGACTATAGCCATCCTGTCTTGAAGGGTGTTCTCATACATTTTCACTTGAAACCCTGTCACCTAGTGGGTGACCATAACAATGGCTTTGCCGTGGCTCTACACCGTAGCTGAGGCAGACTGTGTTTTCAAAAGCTGTGTAGCAAAAATGACATTTGTTAGGCTGCCTCTGAATTTAGTATCTCATGGATAGCTTAGCATACAGAAAGGTATATAAGATACCAGACCAAGTTAGAAGGTTTCCCCTGAATTCTGATCAGTTTCTCTACTCTTCTGGACCACATTCCAAACTGTAAAAGGCAATGGAAAAACTTCCAGAGACTGCAGTGAGCTTGTTTTGAATCACGTAGATCTCATTCCCCGTGCATGCTGATTGTCTCCTCCAGTTCTTAATCATGTTTGCTTGCCTTGCCTATTTCCCTTTTATCTGATCATGTCTCTCTTTTTATTCCCATTTAATTTATTTTTTTCTTTCTACAGTCACTTCTTGTATGTTCGTTTTCATCTCCTTCTTAAGTCTCACACTACCAAATATTACCAAGCATGTTTTTTTGTTATCTTTTCACATAAAAAAGAAAGTGCTCTTTTCTTTGATTGAAAAGTATCCTTGATCTGAATTCCACCTACTCTCCCAGAAGGTAGCACATTACCTGTTAAGTTAGTTATTTTTTTTACTTGCTGTAGTATTAATTAATGTTGGTAGAAAGACATATAATACACATTTATGCAAGCCAGAATAAAAGTGAAAAAGACAGATACATATTGGAATTTTGTATATTGTACTTGCATTGGAAAACTTGCTTGATATACCTGAAAGGACTGTAAAAGTGTAGGAGAGAAATGATAAAGGTGTGGTGGTAGCCATCCCTTGAAATCCTGAGGAGAGATTCCTTGTGGAGGAATTCCAAAATAAGATAATATTGTTAAGGAATTCCTTTGAAGCTATATTTTCTACTTTGTCCTCCCTTGCAGTCCGTCTCTCTCATCTCTCACTGGCCTTGTACCTTAGCCGTCTTATTCCAGCTGTGCACAGAACTGGCTATGGAGTTGTGTAGCAGCTCTTCATTGCAAGAGCAAGGAGAGACTGAAAGAGGGCTGCGTGGAAGTACTGCTTTCTGATGGCAAATTGGGAAGACTAGTTAGACAGGAGCTGTTACAGCATCTGACCACTGGTAATCTTCTTAGTTTCCTCACATCATAGTATGGTGAAGTACAGGCGGAGTTCAAGGTGAGCATCCGTTCATCTTTCGCTGTCATTAGTAACAGCCGTTTGTAACTGATGCTGCTTGCACCAGTCTAGCGGAGAGTGGGAGTTCGTGTTGATTGGGCAGGCTGTGGTGTAAATTTCTGTGGATCCAAATAAGATAGAAGGTGTTGCTTCTACTTAAACAATGCTAGCTTTTGTCCTGGCCAGGTTCAGGTGATATGAAAGAGCAGGGGAGAGACACCTGTCTCCTTGATCTGTTATCATTCTCTTCTTGGCTGTACATTTCTGCGGTTGTGAATTAATGTTCTTCATGCTCACTCTGTCTCAAAGGAGGGGCAGTTCGTGTTGCTTTATTGTTCACAAGCTGTTTTCTGACTAAATAGTGTTATTGCTGAGTGTGCTCCAGACTGTCCTGCCAAAGCTTTCCTTGCTGAATTCAGCATGCTTGTAAGTGTAAGGGACCTAAAAGCCTTTCCTGTCCAAAGCTCTTAGCTGAAATGTATATCCTGACTCCATCCAAGTTATTTACTCTAGGGTGAAGAATAACAGCATTCCAAGCATTTCCCTGAAATAAAAGTACAACACCACAGCACTAAAGCTAGAACCAAAATCATGCTATTGATGAAATATATGAAAATAGGCAGCTTCCATCTCACTTCTAATTGTCCTCTCCACAGGACATGAAAGCACTGTGTTGGTATTGCTTGGTATAACAGAGGAGCCTGACAGGTTTGTGGTAGCTATTGTATTAGAAATGTGTGGGAAACTGCAAAAGGAGAACATGGAAAAACAAACCATCTATTTTGGGGCTTTCTATGTTAAGGGTGGATTGAATAATGCTAGCAGAATCACTCTGGCTTTGCCCTGCTCCAACACAGGAAAATGAAAAGGAAGAAGCATCAGAAACTTTGTATTTCCCATTGACTTCCTAGTAATATATTACTGTATTGTCTGCCGCAGAAGACTGATGCTGAGCTAGGATGTTGCTCAGCATTTAGAGGGATGCTTCACTTGATTCTCACACGGACTTTCAGCCTTATTCAATGTGTAAATAATAGCTCAAGTTGCTGATTTTTAGAGAGCTGTATGTTGAAACAGTGGTACGTGCAAAGGAAAAAGCCGAATAAATGAATGTGTTGGTTGGTGTCTGCCAAGTGAACAAACAAACGTATGTTAAGAATGGGAATAACTACAGTTTGCTGAACTGTTTCTGATAGGAAAGAGAGTGACGATGCAGCTTGAGAATTTGCGCTGTTCCAGGTGTTTCAAAATAGATTGACATGTTTGGATGAACGAAATCTAGAATTTGTAGGTGGTTCACAGTTCAAGATCATGAAAAAATATTTACATTTAAATGCTTTTTTATAAGTCTGCTGTGTCTGATTTGGGTTTTTAAATTTTACATATTTCAAACCTCTTATCATTTTGTGAAAAAAAAAACAAACAAACCCACAAAAAAAACAAACCAAACCACCTCACAACCCTTAGCTAAGTTTCACCATGAAAATGACATCCGGACTCCCTTGCATTTCTTGTTCACGCTCAGCAGCTCCAGCATTCTCCTGGAGTGTCCCTAAAATTGTGCCAATTTATGCTACATACTGCCCAAAAATTCAGTGACAGCTTTTTCTTTGATGTTAGGGATGGTTCAATAGAAAATAAACTGAGGTACAGAGGAATAGAGACAATTTTTCTCAGGGTTGCACAGGAAGCTCACAGCTGAATTTGAGAACTGAACCTAAACCTGAGTTTTAGTTCATCAACCTTAGAACATGAACTCCCTTCCTCCTGAGTGCTTGGATCTGTCCGACCTCGTAAGCAAACACACAGGGCATGCTTCTCTCCTGATCTCACAGGCTCTGTGGGGTCCTGGCTCTGAGGCTGCTGCTTGTTTACAGAGAAGGCTCTTGGTACACTTCTCCCTGGTGTCTGATCGTTTCCCCCTGCCAAACGCACAGTTTCTTCTTCCTCGGCTTAGACTCAAAGCCAAACATCTCAGACCCCTGATCCAGAGTCACAGCATTCTCTCCAGTCTCCTGATGATGATGATACTGTGTGCTGCTGGGAGGTGAAATCATTCCTGTTGGTCTTTACTTCTGTACCGAGCCATGTAAGGACTTGTTAGAACAAAATTTCCAGGGGCCCTGACCCATGCCTCTCCTGGGCTCTGAGGGTGAGGTTTCCTCTGACTGCACTTGAGCTGATAGTCACCAGCAGGAGACCTGGACTTTGCTCTGTTTGGTTTCTTTGTGGACATAGTGAAGAGGTGACGTGTCGTCGTCGTCCCCCCGACAGACAAGGCTTTGTATTAGCTTTGTGGTAACTGGAATGAAGTTTGAATTTGGCTGCAGCTGCAGTCACTGTTGAAAATCAGCATTAGCTTCTGCTCCATTTCAACTTGGCTAATACCTGCCAGGAGCTTCCCAGCAGTGATCACAGCTTACACTCTGTTGCAAAGGAGAACTGAAACGGGATGGAAGTGCTCCTTGCCCCTGACACTGCTCAGCTGTTGGGGACAACTGAGTATTTCCAATTTTTTACAGCATAAGAGGGAATCCTGTGTTTCGGGACACAAAGACCAGAGGCTTTGCCTTTTTTAGTAGGATGTGAAGCAGTAACATGCCATGTGGAAATGCCAGTGCAGCACATGCCAGTGACCTTGAAGAGCAAGGAGTGGAAATGATGTGTGTGCCAATGGCAAGTACGGTACGCTGTGATCTACGGAGACGCTTTCACATGGTGCTTTGTATCACCTGCATCATACTGGCCTCTCTAGCTTAGTGCAGTGGGTGAGACACAGCCCTGCCTTGGATGCTTTGTGAATTTTCTAATTTTGCTTTTCCTGTTGCATTTTGCATAATTACAGGGGAGAGGTGATCTGAGTAATACTTTACAGTAACTGAATATGACACCAGTTGCTCAAGAAAGTCATAGGACTTTCCCAGTATTAATTAACTTAAAATCAGAACTTCCTTTGAGGGCAGAACAGATCAGATAACCATGGCCCAGTTCTTTTGCTCTTACCCTTCATCCTGCCCAGAGGAACCCTCTATCTTTCAGTTCCTCCAGCTGGTGCTTGCTGACTTGCTGCTTGAGGCCGTTTGAGTTTTAATTAAGAATGTGTGCAAAGTGCTTTGGCAGCTTCAGGAAGAGGCTGCTGTAGATGAGCCAAGGATTTGAATATTTTTTTTTTGTTTCACTTCTATTTCCCGTGAGCTAGAATTGAATGTGAATTACTTGCATAGTTCATACAGATTCACCATCTGATGCAATGAAGGGATTCACTTTAATAACGGACTTGTCATCTGCTTTACTCTGAATAAAGATGGTTTTTTACCTCCCTCAGGTTCCACTGTCTGGCATCCCGACTGTAAGCAGTCCACCAAGACTGAAGATAAGCTACGGGTAAGCTGAATTTGTGGCAGTGACACACCAGATATTTTGCCCACGCAATAACTAAATGCTGTTTTAAAAAGAGTGACTTTTGCCATGTTTTTTTCACATAGCTGTCACCACTCTGGCAGAATAAACAGTGGAGGCACTTGAGAGGTATTGCTCTGATTTTTAGGCTTATCGCCTTCACATACCTGTCTCAGTGCACTGCCTTAAAGATAGTGTAATTTACTAACATATAGATATGACAAAGTCACTGCACCACTTCATTTCATATCTCAATTATTGTGAGAGAGACTCCTAAGGAGAAAGTGTGAACAGGGTAAATGCTATGATATATTTTAGTATTTTTGCACATCTGTTTAATTGCTTTATAGTTGGGATTCCCTGTTCTTCGTGGTTATTTACAGCATTTAGACAATATGGACTCTTCTTTTGCCATCCAAATAAACCTCAGCCTAAAGTGATCCTAATTTGAATGCCAAGAAGAGCTGCAGTTACCCTTGGAGTCATCTCAGCATATCCAGACAAACTTTCTGGATCAAATCCTTGATGGCAATAATGCTGCACTGATAAATGCTGGAGCCTGGCTTTTTGCGTGCATCAGGCAATTCTGAGCCCGTATTCACTAATTCATCTTCCGGACAATTTACTCTTCTTGATGTCTCAGTTGTCCTTTGAACTTTGATAATTTTTCTGGATATGAATATTAGAGACTGTATGTGAATAAAATGACTTTCAGACAAGGAAACTAAGAGGTGCTGACAAGGAAGTACTTAGGATATCCTGTGGGTTGTGCTCTATGTGTGGCTCATTCACAGGAAGTCACGTCCTTTAGAGTTTGTTCAGGTGCACTGATCTGTGAAACATCCTCCACAGAGAATTTACTATGATTGTAGGTAATGTGCAGATAAATTCTTGTGGAGGAAAGTTCGTATTAGTGTGGTCTGTACTGTTAATACAGAAGTATAATTGACCTTAAGTGGGCATGGAATCTAGCACAGCCAAACGTCACTGTAGCACGGCCAAACATCACAAACAGTCCAGCGTTTGCACATTGTTCTGTCCTGACTTTCCGTAAGAAAATGGCAAATTGTGCCAGACTGGATTTTCTTCCTCAGTTAGCAATTTTAATGTAGGACAGTGTTTTGGCCCTACTTAAGTGTCAGAACACTTGTGCTTCGTAGTGAATGTTTGGGGTACAATACCTCTCTTTCACTTAGACTCAAGAGTCCTACCAAGCACTCCTGACTGCACTGCAGCCCTTATGGACCTTCTCCAGCTGACCTTATAAATCAGTTGCTTTATTTCCATTTTGCATGGAAAAGGCCAAAGTCCTCTTCAAATATTTTCTTTTTTTCTGTCACACATTCGATCATGTCAGTCTTCTTCCCCCTCAGCCAATTTTAATTGAAGTGAGAGAAGTAAATTAATTCATCCACATGCAAGACTTTGCCTAAGTGAGTTCTTGCAGGAAAATGAAATTAAGAGAAGTGAAGGAATGCATATTAAGGGAACATCTGAGAAATATTATGGCACAGCTATCCAAGGTCACCTTGTTCCTAGATGAGAGCTTCTATGCAGAAGTTTAATATGTCTTTAAAAGACATTGACAAATGCGCTGTACTGAAGCTAGCTGGAGAGATGGAGAATTTTTAGCTTTAACTGTACATCACAGATAGTATCTGTCTACTCTGATGCAAAGTCAGACACCTTATTTTAAAATCAGTTTGAGTTCACTTCAGTGACTTTGACACTTCTGCTGACTCAAACAAAGGCCATAGCAAACAGGTAGGTACAGAAAAAAAATGAAACTGAGGAAACTATGTGCTATTTGAACACGTCACCACTAAATTATGAACTGTACTTTGATTGACTTTCAGTTTCTTGATGACATACATTTAGACCTGATGTGAGAATCAGAATCTGGTTTGTGAGTTGACAAATATATGATATAGCCACTTTTAGGGTCAGGCCTAAATTTTCTGGTGGTTCTGCAAAAAGCCAGTGACACGACCTCTTTGCTCTGCTGGGTTTCCTTTCCCCATAGAGCAAACACACCCAAAAGCCCTTTTATCATTGAAGTTGCTTTAGAAGTTTTAAGCAAGTTCTGTTTTCTCTCAGTAACTGAATTGTGGTGTAAACTAATCAGCACTCTAGCTGGTCAAGATCTGAGAGGGAGCTCATAAAAACAATAGTTGTTTTAGATCTTCCTCCCACTGGATATTTGTGGAGGATTACAAAGCCAAAACAAGCAGAAAATAAAGCAGCCATATGTATGTTAAAAAATATACATTGCTTAGGATTTTGTACAGCTGTCCGGTGGTTCATGATGCTGCAGGGATTAAGGAGTAACATAGATATTATAACGCACATAATATTATGTAGCAAGTAGGTATTAGTAACTTGATTGGAAAAAAAGAGCTTAACCACTGAGCTGGGGAAACTGCTTTCCTTTTCACTGTTTTTTCCCTTTTGTGTTTCATGACAGCATTCCTCATCTGAGTTCTTTTATCCAAAGAGTCTGGTTCTGCGCAGGCCACGCTCTGCAGAGGTTTGCTGTTGTGTTTTCAGAGTGTTAATAATGGTCTTCTTTACTGAGAAGATTCTTTGTTATTGTCATTCGCTGTGCTTGCTACTACTTCTGCCACACAGCTTTTCTGCTACCACTTGCCACCCTGGGCACTGGCGCTGTGTTTTGCATCATGTGGTGCAGTGTTGTTTGTTAATTATTGCATTTTTTTGTTTTGTTTAATGAAACACTTAAAATTAATGTTTTTTTAGGTTCAGATGAGCTTTTGGGGGCTGTAGTATTGTTCTTCTAGTGTTACAGAAAGTTTTTCTTCTAAAATAAAAAATTAGAGTGCAAATTTGAAGCAAATGAAAATGATGAAAAGCATCTGACTTTAAAGTGATGGTTAAAAAGAAATAGTTTTTCATGCTTTTTAGAAAAAAAAAATGCCATCAGTTACTTTTTTCTGTGTTTTGACCAACTACATATGAATACTTTAGTTGAGAAAATACTTACAAAATTCCAGGTTTGAACATGTTCTATGTGCTGCCCAAGAGCATTTGCCTCTCTCTAATCCAGGGCACATCCATGTCTGAGTTGGGAGATCCTCCCTGTCCTCTTGATTCCGGACTTTCTGCTTTCAGACTTCCTGGAGTTTGCTTTGCACCTACAAACACCACTCAATTCCATTTCTTCTCCTTCAGGGCAGTGCTTATTTATTAGTTGTGTCTGCTGAGGGGGAACGTGTGGCCGTACTGCATGCAGACACACCTGAGGTAGCTTTCACCTGGTAATGAATTAAGAATGGAATTAAGAATGTACTGGTGTAGACTTAGTGCAGGCTGGCAGTGGGCAGACAGGTTGATAGAGTCCATGCCGCTGGATTTCCATTGTGTCTGCTTGTGCCGCCTTTGCCTCTCTAATTGCAAAGTGGGCATGGTTGTATCATCAGCCAGGGCAGGAGATGTTTGCATTAGATGCACTCTGCAGGAGGATGTTACCTGGTTCATCCTAAGTTGAACTGACTTCAGTCAGTTAACTTAGGATGTTGCAATTCATTAATTGCTTCTGAACGCTGCTCTTTCTGTCAGCTACAGAGCTATATATCAAGAAAATACAGCTACAAAAATGTGTTACCAGTTCTCCTTAAGAGGCCAATGTCTCTTCAGTCTCAGGCTTTGTAGAATTGAATGTTGGAGTCTGAGAACAGCAAACTGTGGGACCATTTCACTCATCTGTTAGGCCACTGTAGTGGCTTTTTCCATTCAGCTTAGCATGCATGAATCTGAGTTTCCAGTGTTGAAGTCCAGGAGCCTTAGGATTAAAAAAACCAAAACCTATCCAATGTATTAGAAAAATATGCAAGGCAAAATAGGAGCAGCCCATGTCAAAATAAAGGTATGTTCTCTTTCTTGCTTTGTAGTCTTTGTAGGATACAAATGAGATGAATATCCTCTTGTGTAAATTTGTTCAGTATTAAATTCTGTTTAGATTTACATGCTGATTACACAAAGTGTAATTCAAGGCAGATTTTGGCTTCAAATGTTCTTCTGCATTGTAGACACAAAGCTGTTGCTATAAAGATGGGCCAAAGGCTTGAATCTACATGAAAATTGTAAGTTGAAAATTGTAGGGTGGAATCCTGTGAGTTCTCTGAGAGTTCACTGTTGAATTCAGTATGTTCTGATCTTCCCAGTTTTTCTCCTGCTTTCCACTTAACTTACTCTTGGCAAAGGCTACATTTGCATGAGTAGTCTTGTAAAAGAGTGGTAGCAACATGCCTTCAATGATTGTGTGCCGAAAACTCATTCTCCTCTCTGGTCTTTGTGTCTACAAAAGAAAGAAAAAATAGTTGTAGCCTATTAATATGTGTGTCTGTGAGTTTGAACTAAACATGGTCATTAGTTTTGTCTTGACGAATACATAGTGTAGATTTTTTAGGCAGAGAAATAATAAATGCATGCATTTGAAGGAAACACTCTTGTAAGGAGAAGGATCCAGCTAAACTAGCAGACAGGCACAGTGAATGCTGTAACACTGAGGTGCTTTATTGATCTTGTACATGGCCACTGAAAATTGCCACCCTCGTTCAAAGTCCTAAATAACTGTAAAACCTTGCAGTTGATGAAGCATGTAGTCAGAGTAGCAAGAGCTGTACTTAAAAAAACAAATTCCTTGCTATTGCAATGCTGTGTCTGCCTAATAGAATAAATTGCATCCTAATCTTCTATTAGTTTATTTATAAACATGCTTCACTTAAAGTAGTGTCTGAGGTTTGGAGAATTTTCTTAAGCTATAATGTTAAATGTGATTAAGTGGAAACATATTCATTCTTCTGCAGCTATTGTCACCGCCTTGCATAATGAACTCTATCAAAAAACTAAGGCAGGTACTGTAAGCAATGCTGGCGATGCATTTGTTAAACAGTAGTGCATCTGTTTGGCCAGATGTTCCTGGGATCAGTTTTGATCTAGTTGCCTGCACATGTAAGTTTTTATAGAGCATGATTCTGAACATCTGTACTTGAGAAAGCCAGAGCTGGCATATCGTAGCATCATCTGATGATGTGAATGGCTCTAGCGTGAATTTTTTTGAAGTAGTTATTTATTTAGATGATGCACCATGCATGATGACATGACATCATGCGGTAAATCCAAATGAACATCTTAAGCTTTACAATACAGTATTAAAATAGCAGGTTAATCAATCTGGAGCATATGCATGAGTGATGAAATAATTGAGCATTGAAATTCACAGTGAACCTGGGAGGATGAGCATGACGGTGTTACATCTGCCAATCTGCAAATGAGATTGGTAAAGAACTTTTGCATTGAAGACAAATGCATGGAATGAAGAACAAAAACATAAACATTAGAATAGTCTGTGATAAAGTGGGAAGTACTGAGCAGTCTTGCAGATACCTTAGATGCTTTGTGATCTTTTTTTTTTCCTTTGGCTCCTTTAATGACATGCATTAATTTCTATTGACTGAATTTGTATTGATTTTTTTTTTCATGTGCTTCATAGACTTCCTGTATCTGGTACAGACATCCTGTATTGATACATTTACTACTGTTACATCCATTTGGGTGGAAGAGGAAAGAAAAAAAGAGATGATTCTTCTTCTGTCACAAAAAGTGGAGAAAGGCCATGCACCACAAGAAAAGAAAAAACAACATTAGTTCTAGTTCTTCATAGAAATTTGCTCTAAATTCCTGTGCACAAAGATGGCATTATGAAAAACTCTATTTGAATCCTTCAAGAACAAGAAAAATCATATAAAGAGTGTTCCAGATCTGCTTGTAGAAGTAAGGCAGCTTGATGTATTTTGTTACTGGGAGTGTAGGACAAGTGTCACAGGACTATTGTGGTGGAAGGAAATACCTCTGAATTAATGCATTCATATTAAAGGATGTTTCCTCTAATTTCTTTACCTGCCTTCTTCCAATAATGTGTGCAAGAGATGCTCACATATCTCAACTGAAGATTAAAGTTAAATCAGGGATAACTGCTGTTCTGTTTCACCTGTGCTCTGATCAGCTCTCCTCTAGGACGGAATTTACACCCCACTGCAGCTACATCAATAGAGAATTTGACCTCCAGTGTGCCTCTTGCCACTTGTTTAAGATATAGTCACAACAGTGGCACAGAGTCAGGATTCTCAACTGCTAATGAAGATATAACGTACGAGCTAATAAAAGCCATATTCTCTCACAGGTTTTCAGTCAGGAGCTATTAGAGGTCTCTTAGGAGAGGAGCCAACCATAGCAACTAAAAGTATGCCAGAGGAACAGCTTATATCAAGGAAGCTTTAGTGTATGTTTGTTAAGGCAAGCAGCACAAATGTTTTTAAGTGCAATGCAATTGTCTTTAGGGGAAAGTGTAAAGCTGTGAAGGATTCCAGACCATATGGGAGCAGCAGAATAGGAAATCTGCAATGGAAACAGCCTGTGTAATTCAAAACGAGAAACAGGGCAAAGTGAGGAAGGAAAGGTGAGAGCAGATGTAGAGGTCCTCTTTTTCATGCACCATCTTCAGGGCTGTGTTGTAAACAAGATACAGGACTGGGAGTGAATAGAGGAGCCACAGAGTTCCAGGTCTGCTTGGATTAAACTCCTCAGGAGAGGAACAGTGTGTGCTCAGGCAGTGGCTGGCAGGATGGCATACCGCCCAGGCAATGTGGAGCTTTGCAATATACTGAAGGTAAAATTTATGTATACAGGAAGAATTACAGAAAATAGAAAACTGGTTTTAAAGGGTGTCATATCTGGCTCATGGCTGTGTTAATGGGATGGTAATGAGGAACTTGCAGCAGAAACACAGTGAGGAAATGAAGAACAGGTGCTACAACTTGCCAGTCCATCTGACGACTGCTCCTGTACTCTGGGGTTAAGAGCACCTAACCAAGGTGTTAGCGGGATGTGGCTGAAACTATCTTCTTAAGGTGTCTAACTTAATTTAAAAAATTCACTGAAGTGATAAAAACAAGTGAATTTTCCTTTGCTGAAAAGCTTTTTAGCAGTGATGCTAAGAGAGGAGACTAGGAGATGGACTGAGGGCTGAAAATTTCTTTTTCTATAAACGATCCAGAGAGAAGAGCAACCCAGAGGCCATGGCAGCTGGGAAGAAGCCATTAACTCCTCCTAACACTTGTTTTCCTACAAGAGGGAGAAATGAGCAGACAAACTCTTGAAGTATGTCTGCCAAAAGTCAAGGGTAACAGAGACACCCCTAACAGTACCTCAAGTACTCAATGTTGTTCTCTATGTTGTAATGAAAACAATTGTTTTCCGTAGCAACTGCAGCAACATGTTACATGTGTCTCTGCTCAAACAGACAGTGGTGTGAAATGGCAGAATGGAAGGGGGAGTAAAGTGTTTCTCAACAATGCCAGATTTTCCAGCTTAATTCTTGAAGATTTCAATAAAACAAGTGGTTGGTTGTTTTTTTTTTTTTTTCCTTTGATTGCATCATGGGAGGAGCTTAAGGGCAGCTGAGAAATTTCTGTTCCCTTTTGGGATGTAGGAATTTGCAGCTACAGAGAGAAAAGGAAAGAAATACATAAAGGTCCAGCTGAGAAAGTGTTCTTAGACATGCTCTGGAGAGGATTTGTGGCTGTGTCAGTCCGCAGGCACATCTGCTCTCTGTTTGATCTGAATCTTCACGTTTTTTGGTGGAACATGTTCAAAGCCATTTATTCCTCTGACTCTCCCTGAAAGCGGTGATTTCATTTCCACAAATGAAGTCAGAGAAAGCCTGCTATATGATCCATGGCTAGTCTTCAGCATTTTTCATACGGATGGCTCCAATAGCTTTCCTGGCTATGAAGTAAAAGATAGAAAGACTCTGAGGTCCATTGAAGGATCCTTTCAGGAGACGTATGTTGAGAGATAAGGAAGGTCCAGTACCCTTGTTGAATTCACTCCAGATATTTCCGAAGAAAAATCAGCGACCCGGGCTGTTAAGCCTTGTTAGTCTTTAGTGTGTGCCTGCAGGTCCCTTAGTTCTATGTCACAAGCTGATGAGGTATGGACTATTTACCAAGATTTAATTTAATTTAAAGTTTAGGAGTAACTGCCACAGTAGCCTGGTGATAAGTAATTTTGTCTCCTCTCAGAAAACTTCCCCCAGAGAATCAGTGTCTGTTTAGTGATGGAAAATCCGCTAAATGTGTAACAGCACTTGCTCTGTAGGGGTGTGACTGTTCTCATGAATTTCAGTTTGCAGGACATTATCATTAAATGTCAAGACTTTTGCAGTATGAGAAATTACGAAATTTCAACCAACAGTTTAGATTTTGTGTTGCATTTAGGTTGTGCTGCAGAGGTAGGGAACAGCTCCAAGTCAAGGATTTCTGGTCCTTCTACTTAAAAGGGCTGAATTCAGTTCTGTATTCATAATGGAAATCCAGTGATTGAACATCCATAAAGTGATAGCGTGTGTGCTGTGCTCCTCTCAACAGTTTTGTCTGCTGAACTGCTGTTTGTGAACTAATGTTTTGACAAAATGACCAGCAGCGCTATCCTGGACTGTACTTTGGCTCCTTGCGGTGTCTCTGGCAGGTGTTGTTTGGTTGTGTTCATTATTGTTGTCAGTCTTTTACATTGTATGGTTTAGAAAACCTCCTTCCCCTCTCACAGCACTCCTTCCCCTACCAAAAAAAAAAAAGCCCACTTGCCTCACAAGATTGTGAAATTGGCCAGAATGCTTGCATTTGTGTTGACATTTTTTCCTAAATTCAGTTAATTTCAAGATGCAGATTTCTTCACTTAAAACCAAAATTACCAATGTCCATGGCTTCAGGTTGCTCTGAAAAGTTAATTTTTGTTTTTCAGCCTACAAGAACATCATCAGAAAGCATTTATTCCAGACCAGGTTCCAGTATACCTGGCTCTCCAGGCCACACTATCTATGTAAGTATTCCTTCTGATGAATAAGCTGCCAATCCCTTCCTTGCACATGAAATACTCCATGCTGAAATAAATCTCTTTTATACTGATGCTAATGCCTTCATTCCAGTGGTTAAATTGTTAAAATTCTCGCCATGACAGATGTAGTTTTTATAACTACAGAATTTCAAGAGCAGGATAGGCCTTTTCCAGCTCCTTTTTCCCTTAGAAAGATACAGTAAATCTCTTGAAGCCACTTGGTGCTGTGAAGAGGAGCAGAAGGCAGACAGGTCATTTGGCTTAGTTAGGGGTTATCTGAGATCTGTGCACCTCGATATGCAGTTCTTGAGAGATCTGCTTTCTGCAGTTGCAGGACTCGAGGAGGAGGGTCAGCTACGCTAAAAGAAGCCTCGCTGATACAACACCTTCCCTTTCAGAAGTCAGATATTTTGGTTATAGAAGGAAAGGTGATTTGTATTTTAGAACACAAATCATACTAAGCATCCTTCTATTACTAAAGTAACAGTGCTGAAAATGCAGAGCTATTGATAAATTACTTTATTAGTTACCTGAGATGGAGAGTTTAATGTGATTCCTACAGTAATCAAGACCCCTCTTTCATTGTTTTAGGGGACCTCTTTCACTTCTTCGCCTCATTATTGGTACCTTTTGAGCCCCTAAAATCTTAGAAATTAAAAGCGGAAATACATTAGCAGAAGGTTGACCCAAAATTTTCAAAGGAATAATGTTTTTCTCCTCTTTTGATACCATTTTTGCAGGCATTTCAGTGTAGTAAATGTCAGTATCTTTTTAATAACGGAACAACTTGGGCTTTTCAAACTTGCTGTATTTTCATGCATATAACCTACGCTTCCAAAAACTCACATCTATTTAAGAGCCCTGTTCCTTGAAAGTCCATATAGCCTTTGTCCTCATATAAAACATGCTCTCAGATAACCCACACACAAAGCAAGGCAGAAGTGGAAGATAACAGCTAAGGAAGAAAATCACAGGAATGCAAGTTAGTGAGAGTGAGTCCCTTATGAGGGCAGCAAAGATGAAAGTATGCTGGGAAAAAGAGACAAACTACAGGGCAAGCTTTATTTTCTGTTAACCTGTGCATAATGCTGAATCACTGATTTTATAGATAACCTTAAGATTATATAGGTGAAAACGTAGTGTAAGACATAAATTTATCAGTTACGTGTATATCAAATTACATATCTCAAGTCCTGAGTTTGAGTTAAATACTAGTTCTTCAATGCATTTCAACAAGAAGAAGAAAAATTAGCTGATGTATTAAAAATGTTCACGCTGCGGATACCAAAATGCAGAGCGTGTCCTGGAGAACTGCCGTTCTGCTGGTAATATGAACTTCGTAAGCTGTAGCTTATGAATTCAACAGAACAGTCTGTAGGCAACCTGGTAGCCTAGACTGGGGTCTATAAAAATAACTATTGCTAATTTATATTGGATTAAGAATATCCAGACATATTTGCAGCTCACTAACAGACTATGGTAAAAATATTGCAGAAATAACATACATTAATATACCTGCATATTTGAGGCTTAAATTAGCTTAAGTTTTTTTTTTTATATATCTGGTGAGTCAAAACAAAACAGATTTGAGGCTATTTTAGAAAGTGAATTTCCTGACTCTTTCAAACCTTACTTCTCTATCAAAAAATGTTTTGTGTTGTTTCTGATTTATGACAGTGCTTAAGAACCACCAGACTAATGGTGGTTAGGAGAGCTGGGGAAGGCAAATGCACTTTAATCTGAAAATGCGAGATGTTAGTGCTTGGGAAGAACAGAACTGCATGTGACTAGAAACGGATCAGCCTCATTTCTTTGTGCAGCCTACTATGAAAAAATAAAATATCTCATAGAAGAGTTGAAAACCAATTTGAAAATTCTCTTTCAATTTCAGTCATCAAATGTATTTTTCTAATGTAGGTAAGAATGTATGATGATAATTTTTTTAATGAGTCTTAAGTATGGAAAGATTAACTCTCTGAACTATATGAAAGACTTCTTTCTAGCTACTTCTGATGGATTCAGCTGTCTTCGGAAATTATTTCCTACTTTCATTTTTTAACCAGTTAAGAGCTCCTTGCAGTTTTAGTATCAAAAATAGTCAATGACAATACTATGTAGTATGCTGGTAGTAAGCAACGTATGCCTTAGTCACAAGCTTGGGTAAACGTTGAGTAATGAGTGCAATATAATAATTTCAGTTGGTAGTTTTGATACCTAGTCCTGACAAATGGTCCTGTTTGCCTTTTTATTTCTTTGTAATAAGTTGTATTTCCTCTTGTGTGCACAGTTATGAGTTGCCTTTCAGTCTGTGGTCTTCTGCATGGAATCCTCTTGTAATCTCTGTAGTCTGCAAACTAAGTTGATGTTATCACACATTTTACAAATGGGAAAACAAGAGCAGAAAGGTGAAAATACTTGCCTAAGGCCATAAAGTGAATGATTTGCAGAGCTGAAGTTTCCAGCTCACTACCGGGACTAAGAAACTTTTGTATTATATCTATATATGCCATGTTCTTTCTTTCCTAAACTGAGAAAACACTGTGTGCTTTTGCAGAGGAGGCCAACTGGAGAAGAACAAGAAGCAATCACTTTGCATGTAGAGTGCCAAAAAGGGTTTTCCATAGCAACAGTGTGACAACAAATACACAAAAATCATAAGTTGTGTAAAACAGAAATTACTGGTGCATTTGTGTAAGTTAATTTATCTTCTGTCTTTGACCTTCAGGCAAAAGTAGACAATGAGATCCTTGATTACAAGGATCTAGCAGCCATTCCCAAAGTCAAGGCCATTTATGACATTGAACGTCCAGACCTAATTACTTATGAGCCATTCTACACTTCCGCCTACGAGGACAGACAGGAGAGACAGAGTCTTGGAGAGGTAATGAACCGACAAGCAACACCTTCTGCTATAAGCTTTATTCAAAGCCTGCTTCGCTTCTGTCCTCTTTGGAAACAGTTTCTAATTGACGCTCCTTGGTATTGTTACTGCTCCTGTTCTCAGTGCTTTTTGTCTGTTTGATCTGAGTTTTATAGGAACAATCACGATGAAGCTTCATGTGCAAAACTGCACAATTAAACACACAATTAAACACCTACATTAACACCAGCCACTGGCAGAGGAATAGGAGGGGGGAGGTATGCAGCCTGTCTGCATGTGCGTTCTTATAACTCCCATGGATATCGTAGTCTTTGGGCACAGCAAAGTCCAGAGTGTGAGGCAAAAGCCAACCTGGTGGTGTGCTGTGAAGCACCAATAATCACAACAGAATATGAGGAATACTGTGATGTTCTATTGCAGTAAAAGGATTAAGAGCAGTGGGGTGCTTTCTCTCATACGTACTGAAGGGAAATACATTTCCAGAGCACTTTGCCGGCCATACTGGATAAAATCTGAACTAGATCAGATGAAGTGCTCTTCCTGCTGGGAAAACAAGCTAGTTGTGTTATGGAAATAGCTGCCTCACATTTTAACCTCCTGGCATTTAGTAAGAATTCTTGTATCCTACAATGATAGAAAAAACCCTATCTAATTTATTCTTTTAAAGATATCTTTCAGGTTATAGGGTCCCTCAGTTTTCTCAAGTGAACTTCCAGAGCTGCAATTACTATTTACATATTTCACACCAAGAAGCAGGTTTTGTCCTGTAATATTATCTGACTGTAAAGCAGACTTCCTGAATGCAAATCTAAACGGACCTGGCAATGGATTTACTTCCTAGAAATCTCAGTGACTTTACCAACTGTAACTGAACTGAGTAGGAAGATGAGCTGGGGAAAAAGGAAGTACAGTAAATCATTCAGGCACCAGTGGTCTGAAGATGCCGGGATCAGTGACTGATAATCTGCTCTCTTAGCAACAGATTAGAGCAGTTTTTCTGCTTTGTTCTTTAATGTTTCCTAGGGTTGGTCTTTTAAATTATAAACTGGGAATTCAGAAAACAGTTCAGCTCAGGAATAAAACAAGAGATTAATAGGTCAAAATGTTACAGAATTTCCCCCTCAAATTTATATTGGTAGTGAATCAAGCTGACATCTGGTTCAAAACCACTGTGAGATTGATTGGTGACCTCTGACCAGTTTCAACAGGCCTGAGCCATTCCACAAAACACTCTACAAACACAAGTCTCTTGTTAGTCACAGAGGAGGAACTAATCTCACCCAGAGGTGTGAACTATTTGTTAATCCTTAAGAGGAAGCTTCTCACTTACCAAGCAGTGTGTTGGAAGCTGATAAAGCGGTATGGTGGAAGCTGTCTGCTTTTATGCTTGTTCTGGCAATAAGCAAAAGCCTTTGGGGTTTTCTTACCCCCTATTTTCACCAGCATTAAATCCTATTAATTTCTGGTGACTACAGACATTTGTTCTGGAAACAAAAGGGCTCTCACCTTCTTTTCAGAGGATCTGGGTTTTCCATCCAATGCTACTGCTGACTTCTGTCACCTTGGGCAAGTTACCTCACCTCTTTGTACCTGTTTCTCCTCCCTTCCCTTGCCCTGATGAGAACACAAGCCCATGGGGGTGGAGTGATCTCTTACTTTGTTTTTGTGTTGTGGTAACTGAGTGACAGCAACCTTGATACATCATACATCAGTCACCATCATCTTTAAAAAGCAAAGGAGGTGACATGTTCAGTCATGGGAGGGATTTGCAGGCTTTGAGTGATTTAGCCTGTATTCTCTTCGCAAAGTGTGTGTATGTGGTGGTGGTAAATAAAAGGGCAGCCTGAGCTTAAGCTTGTACCCTAGAAATGTCCTTCACTATGATTTAAAAATAAAAAAGAAGAAGAAATCCCCAGACTCAGCTAGCTAAGAAAGATTTCAGGGTGTGCAGGGGAGAGTCACCAGAGGTAATCCAGTAGTGGAGACAAGCCTTAATTGCAGCAAATGAGCTATGAGAAAATTGTGTTCTTTAGCCATAGGAAGTGGGAAGATACAGCGTGAGACTTCATTCTTTATTGCAATGGAAGGGAATTGCTTCGAAAAGTTTCTCTCTCATAATCTCACTTGTTCAATTAAATCGCAATCTTGTTTTTCTGAAATTCTGTAACGAAATGTGTTTTCACGTAGCCCATGGCAGGGGGCTTGGAACTGGATGATCTTTGAGGTCCCTTCCAACTCAAACCATTCTATGATTCTATAGCACCATCTAGTGGGACCAGGCATTTTAGTTCCAGACCTGCCAGCCGTTAGCAGGGGAAGTGGAAGGAAGCTCATGAAGAGGTAGTTCAGCTTCTAATATAAAAGAGGTGAAGCGATATGAAATGAGATCTATAAATAAATTTTCCACTACTGAGGCTGACCCTTAATGTAGTGATAAAGTGTCCAGAAACTGTCAGTTACTCAGGTTCTTCATGTCCTATAACTTCTGCCCTGCTAGCAGCAACCTGATCAGCACTGAAATCAAGTCTTTTCTCAGCTCTGATTTTTGCTGCATAAATAGTGAGAGAAGCAGCATTTTACCTGCATGTCCTTTTTCTCGTGTTCTGCCAGTTGAGAGCACTGGATATCTGTAAATAGCTTTCAGTAAACAAGCTGTTGTAACTTGAGAAAAGTATTTTTTTTCTAATGTGATAGATGCTTCAGAATGGAGCAGACATCTTACCTGGTAGTTCAAGAAAAAGTTAAAATGATGTCAGTGCAAAATGCTGGAACTTATATTATAAAATGACACCTCTAAAAGTTTTCAGAAACTTCCCAGGGCCCAAAATGATCTGCGTGACTTCAGGTATTAGAGCAGCCCCTTAGATCTCAAAGTGATAGAGCATTGAGCCTGTTACAATGAGGAGAAGTTTTACTGTAAATTTGGTCAGAACAGACTCTCTATGCAGACGTTTTGTTGTGGTTTTGGTTTTGTTGGTTTTTTTCTAATCTGTAGTCATCACTCTGTATTTCCACTAGCTTACTATTTGGGAACTGTGCTGTTTCTTCTCAGTCAACTGCACACCGTATTCCTAACTGGCTGCTGTAAAAACTTCTGTGATAGACCAGTTTTTAAAAGTCCTCTTAAACCCTGAAAAACCAAGCATTCCTTGGCAGACTCAGTGTTTGAGATATGGCAGTTCACCTGTGCATGATAAAACAGTAAGTTGGCTGCAGAGTGCGGTTCCATTTCCCCAAAAATGGCAAGATAATGTCAGATAGTGATGGAGTAAAAATACATGAAAGGTTGGTCATGGATTCAGCACATATTACTTTCTGGGCTGCCTTCCCAGTCTTAGATTCCTGTGACTACCTTTTGCAGTAGTCATTACCTTAGCATCTAGGCAACCACAGCAGATTATGGAAATTTGTTTATTTACAGCAACGCATAAATTACTAGTAGAAAAATGTGGGAATACACATCACAACATGTGCTTTTTTTTATTCATATTGAAAGTTTTAGATTAGCTCTCAGTTGTTTTTTGTAGAGAATGTTGCTACAAAGCACTGTGTACAATGTTTCATGTGCAGCAAAATTTTTATGGCTGCTGCTGTTAGATCTATAATGAAGTGGTGGTTTGCTGTATAGAACTTGAGCAGTTATAAGGATTAGGAAAATGAGAACGTAAAAGGCATTCAGGGCTTTGAAGGAAAGTAACGAAAGCAGTCTTCAAAAAGCTTTATGTAAACTTGCTGAAAAGGAGATGTTCTGTACCCAAATAAAAAATGTCACTCCTTTGTTTGGATACTTTACATTCACAGTGTCACCAGCTCCATGAGAGTTCATGATGTCTCAATGCAAGATGTATAGCTGGATATTTATTACCAGAAATTCTACATATGTTTTACACTACTGCCATTGGATATTATTGTAACAGTTAGACCAGAATCAGCAGTTTTGCTTCTGAGACATTATCTTAATAGCTGTATCATGCTATAATAGTTGTGGTCTTATTAAAAGCATGATCTCTTCCCAGTTTATTATCGCAATTAAATAATATTGACATTTAATGCATAAAGAAAATAATTAAATCATGATCTTCCAGTTTCAAATTGTCTTGTGGTTAAAGGGCACATAGCTGGTAATTATACATAGCCTTTATTCTTGTTCATACCATCAACGTGTGCGTGATCTTATGCTTCATTTCTAAAGGTATATCTTGCCTCAGTTTCTCTCTGTAATACAAACTTTCCATAATATTGTGCATATTTCTACCCCCTGGCCTTTACACAGTTCTTGCAATATACACACTTGTAATTCCTGTCTCTCCTCCTTATGTAACCATGGAAGAACACAGAGATTTAAAGGAGATCATATCAAAGAAATGTCGATGACAACTACATACTCCTTTGCATGGGTATGAAATGTAAGGCCTTAGGGAGAAGCACATTTTTGCCAGAGTATGTGTGTTGGAGGAAGAACATGCTTCAGTCTGGAAGTAACTCTGTCCTTCTGATGCCATGCAAAGTTCTGAGTTAAGATTATTTACTTTTGATTTCCACTTTAAAGATTTCTTCGTAGCAGGCATGGTTATTACATTAGTAACCCTTTCTGATTTTGATCTTTGCAGCTATGTTTTAATTACCACAATGATTAGCTGGCTGAGAGATGATGTTACATGATATTTAACTGAATTAATCACGCTTCTAAAGGTTCTCCCAGAAACTTTAATTGCTTCAATGAGTTATGGACCAGTTCCTGAGCAATGTGGAAAAAGCAAGTTCCAGTGCTGCGATGACCTTAGTAATTTCTACATTGCCGTTTTACGCTGCCATATATCCGTGCATCTGCAGCAATGTTTAGATTGCCATTTTGTGGCCCAGCAAACGCAATAATGTTTTGGTAACCTTATTTTTATGTCTTTGCAGTCTCCAAGGACATTATCACCTACCCCTTCTGCAGAAGTAAGTTTGGTGGAACCTTTGGGGGCAGTATCTTACTGTGATTAGAATTACTCACTTGAGCAAATGCAGGTGTTGATTTTGCTGTCAGAAAACATTAAGTTCTTCCTGACAAGTTGTACAAAAAAATGAAGCTACCACTCCTACCCGTTTGTTGTCTATGAAGCAGAGTCATTTCTCCAGCAGAGGTCACTTCTTGTACATTCATCCTTCTTGTGGCACGGGCGGAATCAGATCCCAGGAGCTGGATGGTTTACAGGAGCTAAAATGCTGCTCTAAGCATCTAAATAATAAGCCATGTTAGCTACTAAAACATTCACAGTTTTGTGTTGAGGAAAACAACTATGGTTTGGTTTGGTTTTGCTTTTCCCAAGGAGTTAATTTGAATATCACAATAACATGAGACATTTGGGAAGTCATTTGTCAGGATACAATAGATGTCATTGCAGAAGCATTATCATTTTGGGGATGGGGAGTGTTACTTATTTGCAATGTAAAAGTTGTAGTAATTACTACATGTTAAAAAAGTTACTATAAAATTTCTTGTAAATCTTCATGCATTAACCTCAGTTCTGTCCCTTCTGTCCTGATTTGGTTTGCTTTGGTGGGGTCTGGGAGGGTGGTTTCTTTGTTTTGGGTTTGATTTTGTTGCTTTTTTATTGGCTCCTTTTTCCCAGGAAACCAAGTAAATTGGGTTTTGCTATGAAAGAAGGTTTCATGTTTTCAGATACAAGGGGAATCTAATTTGGATACTAAATACCTTTTGATGTAGCTAGTCAAGACATATGGTAAATTAAGCCACAGAGCATTAAGCTTAATTTATGGTAAATTAAGCCTGTGCTGCAGGTATTGAATTGTTGCAGGTCTCCACGTTAGCTAGCTGAAGGCTAGCTCGTGTATCTCGTGCAGTATGCTGCAGGACAGACGTACTCTGAATGCAGCTTCCCTTACGGAGTCACAGGATTGTGGGCAAATCTAAGATTATGTAGAACCTTCCAAGACGGAACTCTGACCCAGGCTATAAAAACGAATTGGGGTCTTTGGAACAGATAATTTAGAGAACAGTAATAATGAAGTAGGTTGAAAGCTTAAGGGATATTATTATTATTTCAGTAGCTTCTGTTGATGTCATCAGATCCGTTAAAAGTTAAGTGCTGCTAAAAATGTGTAATGTGCATTTACATTTATTAGTGAATGCTTCTGTTCTGCAGGGTTATCAAGATGTTCGGGATCGCATGATTCACAGGTCTACTAGTCAGGGCTCCATTAATTCTCCAGTGTACAGTCGTCATAGCTACACACCCACCATGTCGCGTTCCCCTCAGCATTTCCACAGACCTGGTAAGGGCAACTGCATTCAAAGTGTATGTAAAACTATTATTTCTTTATTATGCCACTTAGTGGCGCAGCGAAGCACTAGTTTCTCTTAGCAGTGAAAATTTAGGATTGAAAAATTGTTGCATGTTTTAATATCTCCTTTCCTACCTGATTTTTTTTGTTCTTTATTGATGCAGTATTTTGCACTAGTCTGATCAGTATTTCTTACACCATAAATATGCATCTTCTGGGTTTGTTTATGATTAATTATTTTTAAAATCTTTGTATGTTTCTGAAAGCAAGCAAAAATTTGTAGCAGTGAATCACAAACTTCATTCTGGAATTTGGGAAAAGCATCATATATTGGAAACTAAAGTTATCACTTGACTATACAGAAGTCAGTGATGAAGGATTCCTCCCTCCTAAAACCCAATCCATGTAAAGCTTAGCACAGCCGTAGAATCTCAGATTCAGCAGCAAAACCCCCAGATATTCCAAATTGCTAGTCATTTTTTGAAACATAGACTCATGGTTTGCAAGGTAGATTTCTTGATTAAAGCCATAGACAATTGCCTGGAAACATTAAAAACACACAGACTTCATTTACTGGTTTAGCAGTGATGTACAAGTTCTATGTACAATATACAAAATGTATAGGTAGTTCAGGTTTCCAGTGCATTCAGAATTACTGGTTGTGTATGTAAAAGCAGGAGATGAAAATGAACTGTTCATCCACACCCAAATTGCATAAAAAATTATCTCTAAATGCTATTCATCGAATAGTTTTCGAGACAGATTTTATTGCTTGTGGTAACGAATTAAATCTTTGTGATGTGTTTTTAAATTAAGTGATATAATCGTGCACTTCCATCTTCCTTGGTGATTACAGCTGTACGGTTGAGGTGCCAAAAGCCCATATACAATAGGAGCTGCATTTTTAAAATTAAAGATTTATAATAGAGCCACCACTGTGGAACTTGAATGCCGTAGCCATTTCCTAATGGGGGTGGGCTGAAAGCCACTAATTGTGTCTGTCAGTGAATGCCTTATTTAAAGGGCCCAGAGGAGGTGGGACAGAAGCAAATTGTGTCTGATACTTCATGCTGACAACATGACTGTGTTTTAAGATAAAATTACAACTGACACCGAAAAATACTTAAATGTGTGAAAAAGCTGCAAACTTCTATCTCTTGATCTTGGCAGTTCTGCGGGGATTTTGCCATTTGTATCCATCTTATCAGGGATATGAGCAAATCCAGGCCCTATTCCAGACTTTACTGTGATTGAGTTTTACTGTCTGTGTTCAGTCAAGGACCTTCCCCAGAAGCAGTCTCTGTTTATGTGACTTTTGTGGTGGGCGAATGGGCTTAAGCCAGAGTTTGGATCCCAATGTAAAATCTTAAAAAGTTTGCAGCCTGAGGGATTTTCTGGTAATATATTTATTCAAACTTATCTCTGTTCAGATGGTCTTATGTTTGGCTCACCTGTTTCTGTTTCTCATGACACAGAAGTAATTCTGTGCAATTACCATTTGGATCTTTGCTACCCTGCTTTGGGGTAACTGCTAATGCTACTTTATAATTTTCCTACAGGAATTATTCATGTTTGATAATAGCACATGTATATTTACCTTTTTTCTCCTAATGGCACTTCTTACCATCATGTTATTTGCAAGAATAATTTCTCTCTGAATAAACCCAATGGCCTGAGATAACTTCTCTTTGGCTCCCAGCTAGCCCTTGAGAGAGAAGTGAACCACGGTTTTGACGTTGTCAGCATAAGGTTCTTCAAATATTTGAGTGCTACAAGTTTTGAAAAAGTTTGCAGCCTTTTCCTCTCACAGTGCCCTAGCTAATGTTGGCAGCTTTTTTGGAATGTCTTAAACCAATAGAAAACAGCTTGCATGCCTCTTGACTGACATTTTTTGGTCAGGCACTTTTCAAAACAGCTGCTTTCGTAACTAATTGAGCATCAGTGATTGTGATGTTTGCATGCTGGTAGCAGGCTACTTTTTGGTAACAAAGCATAGATCAGAAGCTCGTTAAGTCAATAAATGTTATGCCAAATTAGTGATGCAGTTCAAATCTGAGCCTCTCTTCTAATACTTCCTATAATTTTGTCTAATATTTATGCACCCTTCGGTATGTCTTTAACCTTTTTTTTTCTCCTTCCTTCTTTTCAGAATCCTAATTGTTCAATGCCTTTTTTTTTCCTTCCTTCAAAGCCTCCTTCCCTGCCTTTCTCTTATTGTTTTTCTTTGTTTTCATTTTGTTCTGCCCCCCGATTCCCTGCTGCCGCAGAGCTGCTCTCTACTGGTGTGCAGCGGTTGTCATACCTGCGCACTAGCAGTCTCAGCTCCACTCACCATGACTCCCGCCCCAACTCCCCCTTCCGACACCACTTCATCCCCCCTGTCAAAGGTAAGGAGCCAGGCCTCCTCAGGGAGTACCCTCCAGGCTGGAGATGTATTAGCATTCTGTCAAAGCTGATAAGGTGTATCTCCCTCAGGTTGTCGTTGGCTGTAGAGCTCAGCATGCCTCGAAATGTGCCGCTACACTTAAAATTACGTTAGAATAGACATAATGTCCTTTTTTTCAGAGGAAATATGTCATTTCTAAGGGCCCTAGTTGAAGAGTGATCAAGAAATTTACAGGAAAGCGTTATCATTTACTACTTAGAACCTCTATGTGCCTAATTTAGCTTCCTTCTAAAGCAGTACATAACAATCACTACAGCAGTTAGCATATGAAATTTAATTATTATTTCCATAATCTTAAAACATGCATTTAAAAATTGACTACACATACTGCCTGGATGAGAGCAAGGTGATAGAAAATATGGAAAAGAAGAAGAAAAAAAAAAAAGATTATGTTATATAAAGATCAATGGCAACAAGGAAGTTAATAATTGTTAATCACATTGGCAATAATTAGTGCCCAGCAAAGTAAAATTAAAATCTCTAGGCCTCTCCTCAACTAGTGACAATCAGCAGACTTTGCTGAAAGCAGTAGAGTTGCAAGGATTTACACTACCTGAGGATCTGGTCATTTCTCTTTTTTCCAATCTGTTTTTTCTGTGGTTTCATTGTGTCCCTTCAAGGAGTTATTCAGCTCAATTTGCTTTTAGTTTTGTTTCATGCTTTCTAGGAATGTGGTTTTACTTTTATTTCTATTGGAGCACTCTCTGGCTGTGCTGTCTCTTCTGTTGAGGGAGAAGGTCATAGCTTATATCACCTACAAGACCTCAAAAAGAGGCAGCTGAGTAAGTTGAACAAAGATTCTATTCTGACACCTCTGATTAATGTAGATAATCATAAACTGGAGGTAATCAAAAACTTTTGCAAGGAAGATGTTGCCATGAACTTTCAAGAAATGCTAATAGGTCTCAATGTTTTATCTCTTCAAGCATTCAGATCACCATTACTAATTTTACTCTTGCCTTTTCTTAGATGTTTTTTGTTAATGTGCATTTTCAAATTTCCTATTATATCACTATAAAATAAAACAATCTCACTTCAAACTTAAAAGATTGGGACCCTTAAAAATAGATACACTGCTCATTTCAGCATGCAGTTAATTCATAATCCTTGCAATTTCAACTTTTCTTTGCTGTAAATCCAAATTAATGCTCACGCTCTTTCAAGTGGCATTTTCATTCTTTTTCTGTTGAGAAAATAGCTTCTTCAACAGATAAATCGGAAGAACTGTTGGAAATCCATGCCTATTGTTTTCAGATTTCAAACAATTAACTGGCGTGTGTATTAAGTATATATCTCAGTCATTGGTACAAATGACCAATTGGGATTACAAGCACTATAGAGAGTGGGTATGGTTCTTATCAGGTCTGTCACATAAGATATTGTAAGAATCCACAATTTTCTGAAAATTTTACATAAAGGTCTTAGGCCTGGACAGAATTTATTTGTTGTAACTCTACAAAGCTCCTGAAAGCTCAAGCTCGTAGTGCTGTGACAGTGTACACCATCCAAGGATGTGGTACATTTGAGAAGGGACAAGTAGCAGGTACCTGCATCATGTAATTTACATGGCTGAATTGAAAGATTAGTCTTTTTGATAGTTGGTTGAGAGAAACAATCATCTTAAGGTGACCTAAGTTTCGCGCCTAGGTTAATGTAGTGGCAATATCCTCATGGTTTTGATTTTTTTCTTTTTCTCCCTGTGGAGGAAAGCGACTACTCAAAAAAACCCCAAAAATACATTTCTGTGTTTCAGTTCAACACTGCAAGCTGAGTTCCCTCAGAGCATTGAGCCAAATTCAGGCATTTGTGAAATGTACACAGACAAAGTAATTTGGTAATGATCTGGAAGAAAACATGAAATAGTATTGCCGAGTTCTCTGAAGACATGCAGACTGAGAGAGTAGTAGTCAATAAAGAACATGAGCAACAGTTTTCTCAGTGAACAGTGTAGCCAAACATAAGCCATGCTTCTAAGTGATGTTGTCCATCTGTACATGCTGGGAAGAGCTGTGACTCTGAAGAGGATTTGACTGTTCCAGTGAATGTTAGGATGGATGGATGGGACAGCAGAAAGAGATGCTGCAGCTAAAAGAGCTAAGTAGAGACGTTAGGTACTGGAATAGGATCTCCAGGGAATTGAATTGGTAGGCCCTTAGTGCCAGCAGGGTGGGTGGCATAAGAAACACTGCAGAAGCTTCAGAGGACCATCAAACAATTCTAAATCTCATAGTGAAAAAATTATGGCTGTTAATGTAATAACACTATCAATTGGAAGGATTTGGTAGCGGTTTGCTCAGTGTCTATGTACCTGTGTGGTAGCAGAAGATTCTCCCATATAGCAGGCAAAGATGCAATAAGATCCTATGTTACACTTAGATTAGATAAAAATGCTCATTATTTCTCTGACTTGTTTAATGTGAAGATAAGTAGCTACTGAAACAGCTTAGGAAAAGGTTTTGTCTTCCCGTGAGTGCAAAATGCTAAAAGGTACAGAAGGTCGAAAGGACTGAAGACTTTTGTAATTTTTCCAGCATGTTAAGTGATC